CTGAATGCATTTTGGGCCGCAGTTTCCCTTTTTCTTTTTCATCATTCGGGTTCTAAAACTCGTATCGCAAAGTTAATTGGAACGGATGAGTAGCTCATTCAAAGTTGAATTACTTGTTCGAGAAGTAATGCAAGTTTACGACAAGCATCTCCAATGCGTCACGTATCTTCCCAAAGTCGTCGAAATCGATCAGAATAAAAACCATTGGAATCTGCTTATTGCACTGGAGTAAATAGGTTGCTCGCGAATTGCTTTCTTTGTTCTGGAGCACGAAGGTTCTTTTTTATCCGCGAAGTAGTGATAAAAATGAGACCAATGAGAATGAAATTCATTGAGTGCGACGTGTGGGTCAAAGTTTTGTAGACCAATTTTGCAACTTTTCAAGGGTCATTGCTGCGAAATATTGTTGTGCGTCGTCACGATGAGGAATTGGCTCTTTTTTCCGACTGCACACATTGCAGCCTCCGTTGCATCTCGCCGATGCGCTGGACAGTTGATGCTGTAATAGAATCGCCCGAGTTCAGTGAACTTTGTTTCTGTGGAAGACCACCCAAACAGTCAGCGTAGTCTTATAATGCCCCATAAGATATTGCTAAGCCTGAAGCGGTCTAATTACTGCACAAAAGGCCTCCTGTGGTTGCAAAGGATTTCTTTTTCGCCGCACGTCCCAGTGTGGTCAAAAAATCTTTTTTTTTCGCGTAAGACAGTGGCCATGTATATGTACGTTGATGATGTTCACACATATTCATTTGTCCAAATTCTTATACTCCTCAGTTTTCTTCAATGCTCGGAAGCTATTGAGTTGAGCTCTCCTACTGAACGGACCTTTTTCTACCAAAGCCGTCTAATGATTGTCTTCGAAATCAGAGGGGTACCTTTCACTTTTTTCATCTTCACCGAAGCGATATTCGAAAAAATCTTGCATCTGCATCCTAACACATTTTGACTGCTTACTACTGTAGTTTTGATTCGAATAGAGAGGCAGCAAAAGAGCTTGCATTAGTTTCCGAACAGTAAAAACTGTTATTCAAGCATTTTTTTTCCAATTCGGCCCGGTTTTAGCGTGCAGTCATGGGCTACAAGTTTTTGATTTGATTTGACGATGCATATTCGTTTTGAATTTTTCTGAAAATCCGACGTTGATGGGGGCATATAGTGGAAATGAAAGCGTAATTTCTGCAAAAGCACCAACTGAAATTATTTGCCCAGTGTTATATACTTAATCTCTCATCATTTACAACGCAGAGTACATGGCACCGGAGATTTTGATGCGATGTGGTCATGGGAAAGCAGTTGATTGGTGGAGTTTGGGAGCGCTCATGTTCGATATGTTGACTGGAGGACCTCCGTTCACTGCGGAGAACAGAAAGAAAACTATTGACAAAATTCTTAAGGTGCTTTCTTTAAAAGATCAATTAACTTTTGTTAGTTTCGCGAGTACATTTCTAGTTTACTTTTTTTTCTCTTCTAACGTCCAATATCTGAAACGTTAAGGTTTTTTTTTTCAGGGAAGACTCACTTTACCAGCATACCTATCTGTAGAGGCACGTGATCTAATCAAAAGGTTGCTGAAGAGGCACGTTGAGACGAGGCTTGGAGCAGGTGAGAACTGCGTAACATTCTCGTAGTCCTGAGACAGTGTAACCATAATAGCCGTGTACGGTCTGATAGGTTTCTGATATCATTCAGTCGTTCCTGATGTCATTTTTCTGAATTTCCTGTAGACCTCACTACCTCATTGATCACATTGACGCTTAAAATCCTCCAAGCACTTCCGTTTCACTTAAGAATAATCATGGGAATTAGGACGGAATTAGGAATTTGCTGGGACACAAAACGACCTTTCCGCTTTTCGCAGCGCGAAACTTTTTTCTGCTTCGAGAAAGCCAGGTCCATTTCTGGTCAATGGTGGGGCCGGGCCGGCAGCGGCGAAAAAAAGTTTTGCGCTGTAAGCAGCTCAAAAGTCGCTTTCCGCCCTATAAAAACCACACCCTGGATTTTTTTGCGGTGCTTTAAAGCTGAACCTTATTGGCTTCAGGTTCCAATTGCGTAATCTGTTTCAGGAAAGAATGCTCATACGTTGATTTTTCGACAGTGATATCCTATTTAGTTTTGTCTTCCTTTCTTTTATGCGGAGTCCTGATTGACCGCTTCTTCGATCATTTTTGGCTTGTTTTTTGTTGGCATCTATAATGTTCCTTACTCCTATGAATCATTCCAACATTTTTGAAATATAGGAAAAGTCATGGAAATTACGCAAACTGTTACTTCCCATGTGTGCGTGTTTTGCTTCGTGGTACGGAGAGCAGTGTGTCGAACAATGCGCGGTTCCGCTGTCAATAATTTCTGGTGCCGAGAATAGATTAAGGCACCGTGATGCGTATATGTCTGGGGCTGACTCTTCTTTTTTTTAGGTCGTAGTGTGAGTGTGATGTTCGCGGTTGGATTAAATATTTGTTGAATTGACCTCAATCATCGTACTAGTCATACGGCTAACTTCATATACGCATTTAAATAGGAGTACTCCGCTTTGTGACCTAGTCCGACTGATGCGTTTTTTTGTTCCTGTCAGTCGCCTTAAACTGTACGAGCCTTCTTCTGAACATCCCTGAGTTTGAGACGTTACCGAACGTCAAATTTGGGCGTTAGGTACTGGTAGGGCAATTAAACGGGCAATTAAACATAAGATAGTTTTCGGGAGTATTGTGTTAGTTTTTGGACAATTTCGCTCGTTATTTTTAGGACCTGAAGATGCAGAAGAGATCAAGCAGCATCCTTTTTTCCGTCACCTCAACTGGAATCTCGTGTTTGCTCGTGAGGTATCGTTTTTCCTGCGATTACGTAGTCATAGAGTGAATTTAGCCAGGATTTCTTAGTGCTCTTTGTCCAGACGCGATTTATGGCTCAGTCATGAAACGTCGTAGTAACAAATTTTTGCTTGATGTTTATGATACCAAGAAATACAAATTGTTTTGTTTCAAGCTGGAACCTCCATTCAAGCCGGAAATGAAGAGTGAGGAAGATGCGTCATTGTTTGACACTCGATTCACAAAAATGACACCTGTGGATTCTCCTTGCGATTCAACATTCAGGTGAGTGTGAAGCCAACATCTTCATGATGAAACCTCTTACGCTTTATTAAGACAAGATATGCTTTCCTTTTCTGCCATTTTCAATGACAGATTTGTTGCAGTTTCACCGGAGATAATCCATTTGTTGGTTTCACATACGTTGCGCCATCGGTTCTAGAAGCTATGAATCAACCGGATCCTCCTTTGGTGACTCGCGCTCGTTCACCTCGCAAGCCTCACTAGTGAGTTTATCGATTTCACACTGTGAATTCATGAAAGTTTTATATGCCCATCGCTACTGGGCTTTTCTGCAGTTTTGATTCGTCACACACATGCTCCGTGTCTTATGTATTGTTTATAATTTTAAATGGAGCTCATCAGAACGTGATGCTTTCAACTAATTTTAGACAGTGTAGAAGTGTAGAGTCAAGAGGCTTTCTGGTTAGCTGAAGGTGCAACGGTTTGAGGCTGGAAAGAGCTGGAGAAAAGGGTATCAAAAATTTACCGGAGGACCAATCTCAGAACTCAGCACCTTTACCCTTCTAGAAACTCATTTACAAATTTCATATACTACTGAATACATATTTTCAATGTGTTACTATTGTCACCTTTCTGCTCGGTTGAAAAAAGCCCATTTGTCGAAGTTATGGTCACTGACTCCGTACTCTTTTTTTTTCACCATGAGGCGTGGCCGCGGCGAGCGCGGACGAGTCGGTGGTTCTCCCGCACTGTGGACGCGCCCCTTTAACGCCTTGACGCAGCCGCCCGCACAGCGAGAGTGCTGCCGACCAGGGTGAATATTGGTCGAGGATTCCGCAGGATTTTCGCCTGACCAGTTAGTTCTC